CCTGAACCTTTGACTAGGTGCTCACCGCTTGTTCCAGGGGAGGTCTTCTGAGCCAGCAGGTGTGAGAGGTAGCGGGCAAAGCCTTTAAACAATTCCTGGAAAGCAGAGAGAAGAGAATCAGAGTGCAGGACCCCTGCCCTCAAGATCCCCAGGCCTCTTATTGCCACCACCCAAGAGCAGGCCCCAGGGAAGACAGGAGCTGGTCTGGATCTCAGGCCTAGCCTGCTTCTGCCCTGCTGTGTCCTGGAGCTCACACTCCCTGTCCTCTCACTCCACTATACCCAAGTATCCCAGGCCCTGAGGGAGGGCAGAGCCCACCCACTCAACCTACCTTGGATGCAAATTTGCCCTCCTTGTAGAAGGGAGTCAGGCACTTGACCACAACATTTGCAGCCTCCTTCAGGGAGATACCAGGAACTGAGAGCTGGCAGGGGTCTTGGGCCATAGGGTTTGAGGTGCCTTCATCACTGGCCAACATGCTGCCCTTGACCTCAGCTAAGATGCAGGGCTTGGCTGAGGGGCGAGGCCTCTTCTGAGCCTGGCTCTCTGGATTTTCCTGGGCAGGGCCATGGTAAAGGATCACTCTTGGGCTCCTTTTCACTGGCCTCCTCCCCTCCTTGTGGAAAACTGGGCTCTAGTACTAGCTGGCTCCTTGTAGCCCATCCCACCTGCTGCTGGGTGTAGGAAGAAGTGATGATTATCCCTGAACCTTTGACGAGAACAGAGCAGCTACCAGCATGTCCACAGGCCTCCTCCCTCTCCCTGTGGCCTCCTTTCTGACAATACCTGCTGGGATCTGGGTCGCTTGCCCATGTGTGTGTCCTTTGTGGGGGTAGGCTGGGCTCCAGGGGGGCTCTGATCTCTGAGTGGATAGGTGCTGGCCAGAGGAAAGAGTAGGCATCAGAGCTCTAGGTCTCAGCTGCTCCCTCATCCCAGGCAGCCCAGCAGAGTTTCAGAGGCCCAGTGAGCAAAGGGGATGCTACCATGCAGATTCCAGAATACTCCATGACTACCTGTGCCCTTACCTTAGTTGCTCTATGGTGTTCTCCTCAGTCCGAGGAGGGGCATTCAAACATCTCTGGGCTCCATCTTCTTTCTCTGGAGCCATGGGGGGTCCCTGAGCCCCTTCACAGGAAGGACTGGCATCTTTTGCCCTTGGGGCAGAAGCCAACCGAGGTGGGCTTTCCACCCTTTGGTAGAAGAAGCGAGTGATGTTCTGAGAATCCTTGTGGGCCGCTGTGGCCAGGAGCTGCTGTTTCTTGTTAGCCCGGGCCTTGGCAGCGGAACTGCCCCCAGAGAAGCCTCTCGCCTTCTTCTCAGGGGAGGGGCCCTCCCAGTGAGCACTATCTCCAGGGGTCTCTTTGCTGGGCCCAGGGAGGGGTATACTCCTGTCTTTGTCCTTGAGGCCACCGGGCTGGTTAGGGGTCTCCTGCTCATCTCCTCTCATGGGCTGGGGGGCTTGCTCTTGGATCTGTGAGGTCTCCATTAGCTCCGTGGCCGTCTGGAATGTGCAGGAGCCTTTGGGGAAACCAGCTCCCACCCGCTTGGGTTTGAGCTGTGAGGAGAGAGAGTTCAGACTACCAGACCCCTTGGAGGTATCACTAGCTGGTCCAGTTGACGCATGTTGGGTCAGGGCCCTTAGGAGTGTGGGAGGAAAGACTACCTTGGGAGTCAGGGTGAAAGAGGCCATGGGCTGCAAAGGTAAAGGATCACTCTTGGGTTTCCATTCACTGGCCTCTTCCCCTCCTTCTGGAAAACTGGGCCCTAGTAACAGCTGGCTCCCTCCAGCCCATCCCACCTGCTGCTGGGTATGGGAAAAAGTGATAATTATCCCTGAATTTCTAGGCACCCTTTCCTAGAACAAGCACCATGATGCCAGGAGAAGAGGCTATGTCTTCTTGAAGGCAAAGGGAAAATGGTACCTTTTCTGGACCTGGTTTGGGGTGGCGACCAGGACTTTACTCACCGAGTACACATGGGAAGTTGGTGGGATGTCATACTCGTCGTACTCTGAGGGCTCCGCCTGGGCACTGCAGCTCTTGGTACCAGCTCCCATGTCATAGGGATGCCCATCCTTGGAGGCTTTGTGTATCTCAGCCACCTGGGCAGGGATGGGCAGGGAGGCCATGGCACTCACAAGTTCCACCTGACAGCCCCTAACTAGGCCCTCCTTTTCCTCTAAACACAAGAAGTAGGCTTCTGTGGCCAGTGGCGGCAGGCAACTAGACAGGAGAAGAGTGGGGATCTACTCCCATTAATGGGCTTCTGGGGTGGGAGCAAGGAGAGGGAGGATTCTGGGCCACATGGGGCCATAGGGTTGGCAGATAGCCTCAAGGAGTGGAAGTGCTGCCCCCACAGCTCACCCTGCCCTGGACCTACCTTCTTCAGCACACTGGCCTTATACAGGTTGGCCACCTTGGCATTTCGGAACAACTCATATTCCAGCTCTACAGCCTTGGCCTGGAGGTCAGCTCTGTGGGTAGGAATGGGCACAAAGTCTCAGATGGGCCTGAGTCCTCTCCCTGTTAAGCTCCTGTGGACTCTCACAGCAAAGAGACTGTGACTAGGACTCTTTGGGCATCTTGCAACGTGTTATCCTTCAGCAGCCACCAACACCATCTAAGTGGTGGCCACATTTACCCCTGATGGGGCTGTGGGTTCTGGGCCCAGGAGTAGGACAGGTCACAATCTGGGGAGGGGCTGCCCAAACAAGCCAGGGGACTGGGTGTTCCCACAGTTTCCAGGGGAACAAGAACTTGGAGGGCCCTCCTTGGCCCAGGCAGCTGCCCTCACCTCCCAGCACTAGGATACTCACCCATCAGTGGTACGTGTGGCCTGGTGGTTACTGCTCAGAGCCTCCTCCAGAAGCCGCAGGCAGTGCTCTCGGCCCTAATACAGAGGAGGGAGGTTGGTCAAATGACTCGGGACCGGGGGAGGGGTCTAGAATGGTTGCCTCTTACCTTCACAGTGAGCCTAGGAATCCTCCTGCTGGAAGCCTCTTTCAGGGGACAGTCCTCATCTGGGGAGGAGGGGTGGATCCTTCCACTCATCTTTGCTCTTCAGAGTCCCCCCAACCCCCTGACAGGAATCCCCCAGTCATGCCCTCGGAATGGCCCCCAAGACCACTTCTGTACTGACCTGGGGGTATGAATTCTTCTGTTTTGGGGTCTTTGCCCTGGAAGACAAGAGGGGCCCATGAGGCTCTGTGCCATGCTGCAGTCTAGATTCTATCCAGGGTCAGGGAAAGTGCTAAGAGGGTGTGAGCAGGGAAACACCAGGGACCCTGCACAGGCCACTGAGGCCTGCCGAACCTCCCCCTTCACCTTGCGCAGCCTCATCTGTTTCTGATAGAAGAGATTCCATTCTCTCTTGTGGGCCTCATCTCTGCCCTCGTCCCCGCTGCCTCCAGAGCCTTCGTCGTACCTAGGGGACAAGCTAGGTGTCAGGAGCTTTGGGCCTGGGCCATGCAGTACAGGGCATCACCAAGGTCCAGACCCCAGAATGGCCCTGAGAGCAAGAGTAGACTACAGCATTATGTCACCTATAGTCTGGCCTCAACACAAGGGGAATGACTGTCTATTTCTAGTAGGCCCCTTACCTGCTAAAGCCCTGGTATCCCCTGCGGCCTCCCTCATACAGCTCAGGGTCGAAGCCATTCCCCTGGGAGGGCCCAATGCAAGTCTTGCTCCAGCTGCTGCTGTGCTCCAAGGCATCCAGCTGCCTCCGCACAGCCAGTGGGTTCTGGCAGTGGTCACAGCCTTTCACGCAGGTAGGTGGTGCATCTCCAAAGTACTTGGCAATGGCAGCGTGCCGGCATCTGCAGCAGACAGCATGGCAGAGGTGAGGGTAAAGAGCCCAGGCAGGCCAGTGTCTGTCCACCCAGTCCCTAAACACTGGCTGAGAGTTGGCACTGGCTTGTGCCACACTAGGCTTGCCCACACCTCATGTCATCGGAGCCTTGTGAGGCACTGTCTAGTTCTGCCTATCACACTGGTGAGGACAGAAAGTCACATAACACACAGGGTATGCCAGCAGCCAGGATGTGAACCCCATTTGGTCTGGTTATTGCTCTGTTGCTTCCCTCTGTCCTCTGGCACTAGCAGGGGTCCTGGAATGAGTTCAGGCCTGCAGTGCAGATGCTGGCTCTGTCACTGAGGCTGTGTCCTTGGGTTAAACATTT